TCCAATTATAGGTGAAGAAGAATCGGTTGATGTCGATCGTGGGTTTGCACTGAACTTTTTGCCTCTGGGAGTGACCTTTCATTTCTTGTGGAATACACCCTTAATCCAGGCAAATAGGCCCTTATTAAAGATGTGAACATGGACAGACAATTTCGCCCTTTTCACTTTTCCAATTTGGTCCTCTTCATTTGGAATTAACGGCAGAAGTAATGAGAGTGGACAGTAAGGGGATGGGTCATACATGGGAGGTTTCGGCCAATTTGAAAAGGTATGAGATATTTGACAATAGGTCCATACGTTGGGAAGTATTGAGCTAATAAGCCATTTTTTTCTTTTGCTCTTTGTATTTACATTATGTTTCTCTTACTTTAATTATTTCTTCTTTTATGAGTTGTGACTGATTACTCAGTTTATGTTAATGTGCATGTTTGTGGGCACAATGATAGCATAACACCATTATTAGACAAATTCACAAATGCTGAAAGCCTATATTGTAGCTCGAACTTGTAGGTCTACCCGATTTTGTTGAAACTTGGTCAAATTGGACTCTGGCCAAGTCTGAAATACAAATAATGTCAATTAATGAGTTACACATAAAGTCTCATCCAAACAACCAACTTATCTCATCACATCACATCACATCAAGAAACCGGGAATCTCATAGGATTACCTTAAGCCTCATCCCGACTATAGCGTCCTCATTCTTTTAATACCACTTGTCCTCAGAGATAAAGGTATGATCACTTACACTTTTGAAACTCGCTCATTTTCTTTCTTAGTATTATATGCTAAATTCATTCATTAGAAACGTCACCGGCATGATCGCCGAAAAGCTTACTATCTACACCGCATTGATATCAACGTTTGTGTCTTGTCTAGAAGTTCCACAAGATTGCTAGTGGCCCAACTTCCATTCATTTAAAAATTTGGTTTTAATCCCCACCAAACAGTGAGATAATACCTTTTTACTCAATCACCTTCCAAATTAGCGCTCCATAATCCTATCAATTAGAAAACAACTAAATAACCAAACTCCATAAAATCTGCTAATTATATACCAAAGATTGAACCAAGACCTAAAACCCTGAATTTAACAAATCCATCAAATCGACACGTTTCTATATTATATTCATTATTCAACCATGGTTATCACTCGCAGTATTGACTGACAATACATGTCACAATTACTCAATGGGTAATTATATTGACACCGTAATTTTACTCGTTACTCCACATTGTAGTATGTTCTCAAGCTTTGCTCATAATAGCATTCATGTACTTAACTTTTATTTTCAACTTTCAATTAATTAAACATCTCATCCGAGCCAATGACTTCTGTCAAAATATCTTGTTACACGCTTAGAAATGAGGGAAAAAATTGTTCCATTTATGTATCTATTTAGTTATTTTTGAATATGATAGGAAATTAATTAGTCATTTTACTCCCTGCCAATGGACTTCTTGGAAAGAACTTATTATCAGATTTAAGAGGTTAAAATAATGGATAGTTGATGAAAAAATGTGATGAAAAAAGTTGGCGACCTAGACGATAATAAGGAGAGATTGAGATCATTAATTGCAATTATAATGTAGTGCAACAAACAAAAATTGTGGTACGAATATAATTATCATTACTCAACTCTCAAACGTATTTATCAAAATAGTTTGACGATGCAACTCTCATAAAATAGGCTGAATAAAACTTAGGCAACGAATTAGGTGTTGCCATTTGGGGGTCCTTGAAGATATGAAATAAGAGCGTGAAACTATGGCAATGAGAGAGAATGGTGTAGGGGGCGTCCTTAACTGAGATTTTGATGAATTTAAAAAAAATTATAAATTCCAATGAATTTTGTGGATATGAATATATTTTCACAAAATCCATAAGAATATCATTGACAATGGAGAAGTTTCAAAACAATTTTTTATACGTATTTTAAGCTTGAAATCCGTCCAAATTTTCTAAAATCCTTCTATTAATGAAATCCTTGTAAATTCATGAGTTATTGAGAATATTTAGATTTTAAAGGATTTTAGTGAAATTCATTAAAATCGCAATTGGGGACACCTAGATTTTATTAAAATCCATTAAAATCTCAATTGGGAACACTTGCATTTAGAAGGACTTTTAGTACTTTTTTTCCTTGAAAATGACCAAATTGTACATTAAATAATAAAGTTTCTACAATTGTATCCTTTGTTTAGAAGAATTTCTGTTCAAAAGTTGTATAATTTCTTCAATAGATAAAACTTTGTTAAACACATTTACTAATTCTCAAGTTTTTCATTCAAAAGTAACAATATTTGTGAAACACCATGGCTCTGAAGAAACACATTCAAAATCTGTCTGGACGACATTTCAAGAGGTAACAAATTGTACTCGCTAATTCTATGTGATTAAGGTGTTAGTTCTATAGGAACAAAGTATCTTTTATCATGGAAATCAATTATTCACGACTTTGATCACTTAAGTGAATAAAATTGTTTTAAGGACGATGTGACTTCGTGTTGACAACATACTTGTTAATTCAAATTGGTATGCACGATATTTTGTACAATTATATATTGATGTTGATTTAGTATCGTAAGAACTACAAGTTGAATATGCTACAAAACATGGATGGTACGTAATAAAATTATCTTCACGTCACAATATTTTTTGCAAGTTTTGCCATAATGATATGACTTTCAGCTTGACACTATAGATACAATTGCAAAAACATTAACTCGGAGACAAACAAGAAAAGGCCATGGAACCTAATAAAATCAAGTTTTCAAGAAAAGCGAATAAGAGTTTTACGATTATCAACTAATTTATGAACATTAAAAAGGAATAGAATGTACAAAGGTTAACAAACCATGATTTTGTTTCATACAATTGTATACCATGCAATTAAAGCACGCGACAAATATTTTATTACGATTTGTTTGTAGTAAGGAGAAAATTAATATTTGCATTAGTAACAAATTGGACATGGTATACAACATAAAGGCTTTCCAGCAAATTGATGTTAATGTCACAATTGTTTTACAAGTTTTGTCAACATATAGTCTGATTTTCAATTTGATATGATGGATATATACAACTCTCCATATAAACAAAACAAAAAGGTAACAATATACAAACCTTGTTTGAAAGTGATTTCTTGACAAGTGATTTTTTTGAAGTATGTGTAGTTAAAAAAGTAGGGAAAACTTGTGAGGAAACGTTAAAAATAATTTTTTGAATGATGTGAAGTTGAAAATGAGTGTGGAGAGTTAAATAAGGGCGTAATAAACCAAGCCTCATATGATAAAGGGACACAAATTTTATCCATTATCAACTATTTTGAAGATTGAGAAGGAAGACCACATGATAAAAAATTAAAAAAATCAATCGGTGATACCTTTATTATATACAATGGAGTACCATGCAATTATATCACGTTGTTTCAGAATTTACGAAGACTTGTTTGTAGTAGTAGTTCTAGTTAGAGTAACGGTATTTAGCTTCACGGGCGCTAAGCACCAATCTAACTATCCACTAAGTGTTGTTAAATGCTTGAATATCATGTACGAAGAGATATAACTCATATTTAAGATATCTAATCAATTAATTGAAGTTAAACTGGTGATAAGTACCCCTGAAGTTGAATAGGATTATTTCTTTTGTAATTGTCTTACTATGATACCAAGTTGAATGTAGTGTATAACACTAGAAATTCTATAACATGTCAAGATTTGTTTGTGAGTTGTGTCAATGTGGTATAATTTTCAATTTAATAGGATAGATATACATTCAAAGATATTAACAACTTTTTTCACAAAAAACAAAATACCATTTCACACAATAAAATCAATCAATGAAAATTGAAAAGATTAATAAATAATGACATGTGGCAAGATTAATTGACGATACCTTCATTTCATTCAATGATATAACGTGCAATTAAAGAACGTGATGTTAATAATATTCCACATGTCTTCTACTCCGTGCCGTTAATCATAAAAAAACTAAGCTTATATGAAACTTCGACACTAATTTTATCCATTGTTAACTAATCTTTATCACCAAGAAATAAAAACACATGTTAAGATGAAGGTGCGCTACATTTATTTTACGTACTAGTTCACCGTACAATTAAAGCACACACCTTTAAAAACATTCTATTTGTCGTTCACTTTACATAGTTAACGATGTCATTTACCGAACACTTATGAGATCACAAAGCATCATATTTGTTTTAGTTGAAACCAAATCTTTGAAATAAAATGTTTGCATGACCTAATATAACTTGATGCACAACTATTTCCAATATGTTCATCTTCAACATGATTGTAACTTATATTTTTCTATCCAAACATGATCCGATTCATACAATCCTTGATTGTACGGACTCGCTTGTTAACCTACTATAATATCCAATCTTAGAAACAACACTTGGTTCCAAGAATCATCATAAAATTCTCCAAAAGCACAATATGCACCGCAAAAAGCGTTATCTTGACCATTTTAGCTTCGAAACACAATATCTCCCAAACCACTAATCCGCAGATCTCGAATGAATACTCTCCAGAAAGCTTATGAAATTTCCTACACACTGAAAAAAAATTCACTCAATTCCATGAAGTGTATCTCAAGTTATTCCTGCATCAATCAAGCACAAAAGCACACCTTTAGTAGCCTAAAACAGCCAACTTTGCTGCATTCCAATCCATATCCTTCTGATTTATTGCTCACAACTGTAGATTGAATCTCAATCCAACTGCCTAAATTTAAAATTTCACAAAAGCCTGGATCCGCGTTAAGGGCCTCTTTACCAATCAGGTTACAGCATTTGGATATAGCTCTCTAACGCTTACGATATAAATCCACCCCATTTCTTACTCAACCCTCGTCCCCAACCCTCAAAATTCTCTGGGAATTCAGTATAATCGATCCATATTATACGATTTTCTCAAGATCCCGCTTTATTTTCGTAACCCTAATCCCAGTTTTCTGATATTGGAAATAATTCTCCATGGCCGCCACTGAAGAACCGGTTGTCCTCGTCGAGCCTGTGGCCGAGTCGGCCGCTGCAGAACCAGCCGTTGAAGAGAATCCACCGGCCAATTCTACCAAGTCCAAGAAAGAACCCAAGCCGAAGAAACCTGCTGCACCCAAAAAGCGCAACTCTCCATCTCATCCTCCTTACTTTGAGGTATTGCATTACAATTTAATTTTATTTGATTTTTACAGGTTTTTGATTTTGTGAAATGGGATCTGAAATTCTGGTAAATTTTGTGTCCATGCAGATGATTCAAGAGGCGATCGTGTCGTTGAAGGAGAGAACTGGATCCAGTCAATATGCAATTCAGAAATTTGTTGAGGACAAGCATAAGAGTCTGCCGGCTAACTTTATGAAGCTTTTGCTGTTTCACTTGAAGAAGCTTGTGGCTTCTGAAAAGCTGGTTAAGGTCAAGAACTCATACAAGCTTCCCCCGGCTCGTTCGCCTGTTTCCAAATCTGCTGCTCCTGCTAAGAAGAAGCCGGCTCCTGCTGCCAAGCCCAAGGCCGCCGCCAGCAAAACCACTAAGGAGAAGAAGGCACCTCCTTCCAAAGCGAAATCCAAGCCAAAGGCAGCCGCTGCCAAGGCTAAGCCAGCTGCCAAGGCTAAACCAGCTCCCAAGGCTAAGCCAGCTGCCAAATCCAAGCCAGCTGCAAAGCCTAAGGCGGCTGAATCGGCTAAGTCAAAGCCAGCCCCCAAAAGGAAGGCCGCAGAAAAACCCAAAGCGGAAAAGAAGCCGCTTGCGAAGGCAGCAAGGACATCAACAAGGACAACTCCGGGGAAGAAGGTGGCTCCGGCGCCCCCAAAGAAAACAGCAACTCCTAAGAAGGCGGCTCCTGCAACAAGGAAGGCCCCAACAGTGAGGAAGGCTCCGGCTAAGGGCACGAAGCGAACTGTGAAGTCTTCGGCGAAGAAAGCAGCCCCTGCAAAGAAGGGGAAGAAGTGAGAAGGAGGGAGAGGGCCTCTTTGAAAGAGTTGTTTGTTTGCAGGGATAGTTTTGTAAATTTATCTTGGATCCTTTGTAGTGGGTGGATTTGCTTCTTTAGCCCACCAAATATCATAGAATTATCTTCCCCCTTTCATATATTTTTTTAGAGTAGGTTTTTTTAATTGATTTTTAGTTTTTAGGGATTTGAAACAGTGCTTAGTTGTACTTGTATGTTCAAATCTACTATGAAATGAATGAGTAGAGTTCTTCTCTAATCTGATGCTCTTTCTTTTTCACATTTACAATTTTCTCTTAAGGCTTAATCATTAGGGTTTTGATTCGTGCAGTGCTTTACACGCAAGGTTTGGGTATTAATCATGGCTGGTGGTGCACGTTAATGACGAGACGGGGAAGTACACCGAGCGCAAATTAGTATGAGGCGTCATTTGCAATCCTAATGTTGATGGTGTGAGTCAGAACCATTTTCTGTGCGCAAGGCACGTATTTTCTGTGCGTCGTATTTTGGTGAACTCTATTGTTTTCTACTTCTATACTATATATTTCTTTTACATGTTATCTCTGACTTCGGCTTCAACGAACTCCCAAAAGCTCACACTTTGATCAATTAGCTGTATGTATTTATGAGTATGTATGTATTGCATAAAATTTTGTGTCGGTAGAATCTGTTTGGAGTTTCTTGTATCTTTTGATGTTCACATTTTATATTCAATTGAAGAGCATTATGATATGATGAACTTCCTCTTGATAGCCATTTTTAGTTACCTCTACAAAGTGTTCAGATAGTTTTTTGTGAGAGAGCTGTAACCGCTTTCACCATAACCTATTATTTTGTGGTGCATAAATACTGCAGATAGCGTGGATGTCAGGCTGTTCAAAACATTTATGAATGTGGCTTTTACATTTAACTAAGTTGGTGATTGATGAAGCTATGTCCAACAAACTTTAAATGGTAAATTGTGCCATGCTATTTGATTAATAATATCGATGCTACTATTAAGACTGGCAATTATTACACAGGCGTTAGTGCATCATCTAAACCTGGGGCCATGTTAATTCATTGATACAGATTCCTCACTGCAAGATATGAATGAATTTTCCAAGATGGGATTTATTTGTCATTCCTGTAAAACAATCATCAAAATCTAAATTTAGATTCATTGCAATGGTTGGAGAAATTTATTTGTATTGGAGAGATGAAATATAGTCATACATTAACAGTATCATTTTTCATTAGTATCCATTCTAAAGAAGCGCAGATTTCTGGAATTAAATTTTTTTCCTTTCCATCCATTTTACAAGGTTATTAAGATGTATAAAAGCATTTCCCTTTTCCTTCTTCAGTATCAGGTGAATGATTCCTTGTAAGCAGTTCCATCTCTCCTTGAAACAGGTGCTATGTTTGTTGATATCTGAAGTATCTTCTAATTCATCTGCGATGCTTATATTTTTTTTTTCTTCATTTGTATGGCATACTTCCACCAGGTTTCTGTTCTATTGTTTACACCTTCTCTTCTCTGACACCAGTGATTGTGTGATCTTAGGCACCCTGCATTGTACTTTGTTATTAGGTTTTGGATTCTTATTCATGATAAGAACATCGAAAAACAACAGAAGTTGTTTCATTTTCCAGTTATTTCTTCAATTAGGAAAACGAAAGAAAATAAATAATAATTCTAGGCTCTGAAGCTCTTCCTAAATATTTGGGTTGGCTATGTGAATCTTTTTTCTCTATACGATTTGATTCATTGCTAGTTCTGCTGGAAGATTTCATTAAACCGTAACTGTACATGTTAATTTTTATATATATCTCCCTCTTTAAACCTTTTGTACTCGTATCACGTCACTTTTGTTCCAAGTCTATGCCGAACATGCCCCAACCATCCAAGTTGTCTTTCACTTCATTTTCCTGAAAACTGGTGCCATCGCCACTTGGTGGTTTGTGTTCTCATTCGTTATTCACTCTAGCATGACATACATCCATTTTAATATTCCGATTTCTAGTAAATTTATTTTATAGATATTTGTCCTTTAGTAGCCCATGTAGAATTAATTTTAGTCTTATATATATCTTCTTTGCACATAGAACCCTTGTAGCAATTCTCCATTTACATCCAACCCACTTTAATTCTATGCACTATATCTTCTTCAAGTCCCCTGTTAATCATACCTAAATACCTAAAACTATTTCAATTTAGATTCTTACTCATGATAATAAGGATTACATTGAGATGAAGAATTTTATGTGTCAGAATTTCAGGTTTTCACCTTAACTTATTGTAACTCTCCTTCTTCACTATCATGTGTCTTATTAGCACCCGTTGTACTTGCTAATTCATGCACATGATGAATTTTTAACTGGACGGGCGACGCATGAATCACGTTCCTCAATCCTGCATGTGCAGATGTGCTTGCTAGCATATTAGTGCTCTTCACTTTCCAGAATGAATACAGAACAGCATTTGCAAGAATAGTATTCAAGCTCAATTTTGTCATCCATTTTTGGACCAAGGGGTACACTTAGAGACATGGCACAGGGCTTATTCTGACTTTTTATGTTTAAGTTCACAAATGATTGGTGCCTTGGCCTACTTGCCATTTCTTCAGTGGCAGCATTTTATACATTTATGTGTAATGTGTTGCATGGTTTTGTATGTAGGAAAGATATACCTGATTTTTAATCTCCTATTGAAGGCAATCGTTATTAAAATCTCCTGTCAACTCTTTTGAATGTGTTTTTGTCTTTTACTCTCATATTTTGTTACTTGTATCCAATATAATCAGAGGTGATTCAATCTGAGGAATGAGTTATGATGTTCAAACTTTCTTTCTTCTTTTAGGGAAATTTATGTGGAACTTGATTGGATGCATGGTTTTCCCATATCTGAGGTGTATAAAATATCAGGAAACTGCATGCACGACCATTAAACTTAGTTTACGTGATTCACTGACTGTCGGTTAAATGTGGAAAAGGGTTCAGCCACGCTGGTTTTCGTGGGGCCCAGGGATACTGAATATTGAAGGACTTGATTGTAGTTCAGGTTGACGCTTATATAAAGTTAAAATTGCCGTTGCACTTGTACAGCTTGCGCATTTTCAACTTACTCTACTATGTTGGAAAAGAAAGAACATTTTAACAAGTGGAACATGAGTACTAAATTCTGTCAGTACATTACCACAAGATAACGATCGCGACCAAAATTAGCAATTGGCTTGTTTCACACGATCACTTACCTCTCTTAGGAAGTTACTCTGACATTTATTCATTAATTTTGGCCATCAATTCAAACATTCACTTGTCTTCCCATTGGGAACTGTTACTCTAAAGCAAGGGCACCGACTTTTTGTAAGCTACATGTTTGTGTTGGTGCAATTTTCTAGGAAGAGTATGGTTTGCTTATTTGTTGTGCTCAAACGTTCTGTGTTTTCTTGGTCAATTCGATTTCTTGCATGCACTGTGCAGCATTTTTTTGAAAAATATGCAACAATTTGGTTAAATTTCTATCTTGGTGCAGTGGAATTTGTTGAAGCATGGGAAAACCTAGGCTGCAGCAAAGTAGTTTTCAAGTGATTCGACTACTGCCTAGACCTATAGTGTTACTGTGTTGAAATGTGAAATTCCTGAATTTTGTGAAATGTTATGACCGAAGTGCAAAACAAAATTTGTTTGAGAGATGTAAAATCGGATTAACTGAAAAGGAGTTTAAGATAGCGTAGACAATTTTGTGGGGATTATATTTTTCCTAAGCACTTAGTTAATGAAGGGTACATGCCTTAGCATTTTGATCCTAATTCCTAGGAACAAAGTTTTCTTTCTGTGAAGTGAAATTTATATAATTAACCTTATGGTTATGGATATTTCTATCAGGTATTCATTTACTTCCTCTGACACTGCAAGATTGTATTTACTTAAAAATAAAATTATCCACCTAAACCTAGCTAATTTGCATTTTGAATCATACCATGATGTCGATTTATCCAGAAGGGACACTAAGCTCCTGTTTGATAACCATATTTTTCAAAAATAGAGTTTTGAATAGTGATTTTTAGGAGAACGTGTGATTAAAAAGTAGGGAAAAATTTTGAATTATGTGCACAATATTTTATTGTGTGAATGTGTAGTTGAAAATGAGTCCGTAGAAAAAAGAGTTTGAAAAGTATGGTTGTCAAATATGGCTAAATTTAAGATGGACTTGTGGATGTGTTTCATGGATTGCCTAGTTGTAATGAGTGGTAATGTCTATTATGTAGCTCTCCTCCACACGAAGGAACACTATAATGCTTATGCTTGTGTGTCTGTGGTTCTGAATGCTCCATAGCTGGGAGTATCATCAATAGTTAGAAGTTAAAAATAATAGGGAGAGATGGTTTAGATTTTTATGATTATATTCTGAAGAAAATGGAAATTTTGTGTATTAGACTGGAGTATCTGCAACAGTATGCATAGACTATTATAGTGCTAGTTTGCACGTTTTCCATTTTGTAAGTTCTTTATGGGTTTTCTTGAACCTCAGGGTCAAGTGGCCTTTTTATGATGCTTGATGAGCATTTTATTTGAAACAATCATTCATCAATTAATGTAATTACATATCCACTGATTGACAACAGGTATAGTAAGAGAACTTTAACATGACTTGTGATTCTGCTGTTAATTTACAATCTAACATTAGATAAGTGCTGCTTGCCTCTCTTAGCAGTTAAATTGCTTTTCAACGTTACAACTTGAGCTTGCAAGGAAAATATCTGTTAAGGCTACCTAACTCCACATGTATAATTTTTAAGTTGCAAATTTCACCTACTTTACAATCATGTTATTGGTGATCTCCTCATACATTGTAATGAACTTATAATTGAAGTCATCTTTCAGTAATTCTCCTTTTCATACTTCTTCGCTTTGGCTAAATGGGATGCACTTTTTATGCACGGTGCACCTGTTCTATTCTCTATTGATGTAAGTTCTTTATGTATCAGGTACGATACCTGACCCACCTTTCTCATGT